TTCGTATGAAGGAGATATGAATTTTCGAAGTTTATTAAATAATTAATAATTAAATTTAATTATAAAATCTGGCCTTATCCGAAGACGAGTCACCGGACTCATCCGGAGTACGCCCCGCGTACAGGAAGAAATGTCGACACTTCGGATGACGCATGGAGTGACGACTTTGGAGCCATGTACGCCCCGCGTACAGGCGTACGCCCCGCGTACTGGGAGGTTCCAGCCTCCTATAAATAGGATGCGAGGGGTCCGGGCATAGTTGCTCATTTCTCCTCCGTTTCGTGCCGAAGCTCTGCATTTTTACCCCCGAAGCCACCCCGAAGCCCCGGTATCATTCCCGAGTCCCGAAGCAAGTCCCGAGATCCCGAAGATCCCGAGAAGTGCGGTTTCCGAGCCGAAGCTCTGCCCGCGAGAAGTTCGATTTTTGTAGAGATCTTCCAGATCTGCTGATGATTACTACTTCTGCAAGCCGTAGTGCTGTCCGATCATCTTCTGATCAAGTGAGTGTGTAGTTAATTTCTTCTAATGCATAATTATGAAGTATTTTATACGAAATACATGTTATGTGTATAATTTTGTTGTTATGTGCGTGAATGTATATTCACTCTTTTCAATCTCATAGATCCGAATTGTTTTCTATGAAATACGTGTTATGTGGGTATGCCTCATCTGTTATGTGAAATATGTATTGGATGAAAATGCTATACATGTTTTAAACTATGTATAAAAATATATATTTTTATCTACTAATATGTTGGGTAGAACATGGGTAGATAGTTGGTGCGTAATAAACAGATGGGAGGCCTCGATGTTGTTGGTTTTGTTGACCTAGTTATTTAGCGGAGTATGGATAACGACCACAGACTCCTTCTAGACAGTCTCGTGGAACGCTAGCAGGTTCATAACCTGTAGGTGTTGTGAACGATGTGACCGGTGTACTCTATCCCCCTCATGGTTGCCTTAGGATATCTATTGTTGAGGAAACCCGTTAGCAGTAATGTCCGTCTCGATGAAAATCCTAGATTAGGTCCCTTGAGATAGATGTTGTTTTAGGGATGTAAAATGAGGATAACGGGAATGGGTAATCGGGATAGTGATTGGTTGGTGAAATTAAATATAATTTATTTATTGTGGGTTGAAAACCCTATATGCTCACCAGGCTCCCAAGCCTGACCCACTCAGTTTTATTTGTATTACAGGAATTGGCGCAAGGGTGTAAGATGGACGAACCATCAAGTTGTTTTGTTTACAAGCCTGTATATGTATATATTTGTTGAATGACTTGTAATGTTATTGTTTATGCTTAATGGTCTGTATCGGAACATGACACCCCGAGTTTTGATTATATAATGAAAAATACATTTCTTTTATGAAATGCTTTGGTAAACATTATTTTATCATGTTTTGTTTTTGGGAACAAATTCCGCAACTCTTTCAAATTAAAAGGATTTACTCTGAAATTTTTTAAAAGCATAAATGAAAATCGGTGTTTTCTGGACGTGATTTTGGGGATGTTACAATTATCATACCCTAGACCCTTGTTTTGATTATCTTTGAATTTCAATTGATTTTCAAATAAGGACTCGATTGTCTTACTTGACGCAGTGTAATTTTTGAAACTAACATCTGTTTTTCCACACTTTATTTTCAAAGCATCAAATTCTTCAGTTACAACAGCAAGTTTTTTCTTAATGTGATCATAATTTTCACACTTGTTGCTGTAATCTTCTTGGAGTTTTCGAAAATCCTTGATTTTGGTTTCTAATTCAGCTTTTAACGGTTTCTGTCCTTTCCTAAGAGTATATCCTTCGTATTTGAGGTCCTCATTTTCCCTTTTTAGCAAATCAATTTGTTCGCGAAGAAATTTAATCCTAGCTTTACAAGATGGAGTACATAAAACTTTATTTACCGGAATTGATGTGGAACTCATTCTTTTTTTTTTTTTTTTTAATTTTTTAAAATTTTTAAATTTTTTTATATTTTTAATTGCCCTTTGACTTAAAAACCGAGAAAGTCAACCTTCAAGTCAAATTTAAAAAGTCAAACTCAAAAGTCAAACCGAAAAACCAAATTTGAAAAAAAATAAAAATCAAACGGGAAAGTCAAAATTTAAAGTCAAAGGTCAACTTTTAAAAGTCAAAGTTAAAATTTTAAAGTCAAAAGTCAAAAATAAAAGTTAAAATTTAAAAACTAAAATTTTTGGGTTTAAAAAGGATTTTTAAAATAAAGAAAATTGATTTTTGGGTTGATTTTGCAAAAATGCGAAATTAGGTTCGAAAAACACGAGTTATATTTCAAATTTCGGAAGAATGCAACAAAGATCCTCCTAGAAGAGTTGGTTAAGGTGCGCTTGTTAATAACCGGGAGGTCCACGATTCGATACTTGGCACCTCAACTTCTTTTCCCTTTTTATTATGAAAGGGCTGCTGTGCGAGGTTGCTTCGCACACACTGAGCCGCACACCGAGACCCTAGCCGCACACCGAGCCGCACACTGCTTAGGTGCACACACCAAGCCGTATACTCTGAGCAGCACACACCGAGCCGCACTCCTTCAACCAGTAGCACACCTTCAACCGGGCCGCACACCTTCAACAGATTCGCGAAAAAAACGACGTTTTTCACCCTTTTTTGCTCTAAAACTTGATTAAAAACTCGTTTTTATGAAAAATCCAAAGAAGTAACCCCCCTTATTTTTGCGAGATCTATCCAAAAACGCTATTCTCTTTTCAAAATAAGATCAAATAAGCTCCAGATCTGAAAAAATTGATTGATACAACCAAGCTCTGATACCAATTGTAAGTCCCCAAAATTGCTTGTGTATCAATCAGATCCAATTGATGGTGCGGAATCCTAATCAATTGGATGATGTCAGATCAATATAAAAGAGAAGGAGAAGAAGAAGATGATGAATCTAATGATGTATTGATGTGAATTATGCTCCTTACAATAGATTCTCTCACATACACAGTTCTTCTCACTACAAGAAAATAGCCCTTTAATGACGCGCAAACAATGACACTCGCTGATAGACGACGCGCATTTGTAAGTGCCCTAAAAGATAATGTTAGTTTTGCAAAATTTGAAGGATAGAGAGCACGCATTTTTGCGCGCCCTAAAATTAGTGTCAGAAAAGAAAAAAAAAAGAAATGCAGAGGGCACCTTCCATAAAATGTGCGTCATGTGAATGTGTCGCTTTATAATTTTAAGTGAAACACGCGTTTTAGGCGGGAAATGAAATCGACGAAAATTACCCCCGCCTATTGAATCCCAAAATTAATCCCCCCCGCCTCTTCTACTTAGCAAGAAAAAGCCCTAGGTCCTTCATCTTCATCTTCAATCATCAAACATCTCGTTCATCGGATCTCTACTCGATCTCCTTCTTATCAGTATCACCAAACATCTCATTCACCACCTCCGCCCTATCAACATTCCCTTAATTTCAATTTGATGTAGGTAATACACGACCAACTATAAGTCTCTATCTATCTATCTATCTATCTATCTATCTATCTATCTATCTATCTATCTATCTTTCTCTCTACCCCTACTATTCAACAACAACCTAGGCACCCACCGCCCCTCGTCTTCTCTCCGGTTCACCACCGCCACCAATGAAGCCCCATTGATTTATCCAAAATGGGCCCAAAATCATGAACATAATCAAGCCCTCTTGGAATGAAAATCTTCCCGCCCAAATAGTTCTATTGCCGATGTATCGTAGCCATTTATAAGTCGATTTCCTTACCCCAGTATCCCCCAAACGCAAACGAATCAAACCCTAACCCTAGATTTTTTGCTAACTAGGTATGTTTTCTTCCTCTTTTTCCTCGATGTCGACTCTAATTTTTTTCATTTACAACCATTTTCGCTTCGATTTTTGACCTAGTTTGTTGTTTCGGTTGTTTCATTCAGGATCAAACGATGAAAGGAGGAAAATCAAGCGGTGCTACGAGGAAAGCCGATACCAAGTACGATTTAATCTAACTATGTTTAAAACATACCATCTGCTAGGGTTTAATGTTGTATTTTTTTCATCTTCAATGAAATTAGGTTTTTTTTCTTCCTCAGGATCATGATTTCGGTACTTTTTAACAATTGTTTGTTGTAATTTTAGGTTGGCTGTAAAGAAGACTGCAGCCAAGGGGAAAGCAGCTAAGGATCCCAATAAACCCAAGAGACCCGCTAGCACCTTCTTTGTGTTCATGTTAGTAGCTGTTCTTCATTTATCACTACCTTCATGTTTTACTTCCATTTCCAAAGTTTAAATATTTTTCCTCTTGTTAATGTTATAAAGGGAGGACTTTAGAAAGCAGTTCAAAGAAGATCACCCTGACAACAAATCTGTTGCCGCTGTAAGTGATCTTCCTTTTTGCCTTTTGTCATCGAAACTTCTTAAGCTTTGTTTCAAGTATTCTGTATCTAGATTGAGTTGAGTTTGTGTTTTTAGATTTTGATTTGGATTTCACTTGTGTATAATTATCAGGTTGGTAAAGCTGGTGGGGCAAAATGGAAGTTAAAACTATACTAGTGCTCTCTTTCCTTGGTTTTCATACTTATTATTATGATCCAGTTGCACTAAGCATGGTCGAACAAGCTGCAAAGCCACTTGCAAGGCCTGTAAGAGTAAGGCCCTGTTTTGTTTCTTGTCATTAAGTGGTGTCTGGATAAATAATATTATAAGATGTTGTTATTATTTTTTAAGGTTTGGGTTTTAGATGCTACACCTGGAAAGGTACGTGCAGGTAGAGACGGAGATGATCATCCTGCTGAATTGATCATTTCTCTAAGAGCATTTCCTAACTAGGTGTGTTTTGTGTTGCATAAAGAGTAACGACTTTTTTTTTGGTTATTTTATAAATATCTAACTGTATATTGTCCCATGATCTCACATATTCACTTTCATATGCAATCTTGATGTATCTCATATACAGGATTCTTGTTAAACTTTTACAAACTTAATTTTTCTATTATCTTTTTTCAAGGAAGGTCACATCAAAAATGGAGGTCATCAGTGGTCTTGTGCGTGAGGGGTTTTTGAATGATGTGGCTCAGGTAAATCTTTTTTTTATAAGACAAATAATAAATGTATTTTCATTTTCATTTACTATTTTTCTTTCTGATTGTAGTGGGTGGTTACCAATCTTCGGAAGACAAACCCTTTTGATTCGTCTTCGTCTGCCTATTCTTGGACATTTGACCTTGATGGAATTGCCCAAATGTATCAATCCTATGAAGAAACTAATCTATGGTAATTTTGATGAATCTATTCATACGTTATGCAAGGTAAAGGCTATATAAGTTTTTCTATTTAATTTCATATGAGAATATGAAGATTTTTTTTTGATGAATGTGTCTATTATTTCAGGTGCTATAAGCATGAGTTCCTCAAGTATTTCTTTCTTTCTACTGGTCAACTTCATCTAATTAAGCACAATTAGATGCTTTTTTACACTAATCGGTCGTGTTCATTGGAGATTAATTGTGTTCCTCTTCTTTCCTTTTTGTGATTAGCCAGGATTATTATTTCAATACGAAGCAGAACTTGATGCTTTCCTTGAGTTTCTTATCTGGAGGTTCTCAATTTGGGTTCATAAACCTACTCTAGGATATGCTCTCATGAATCTACGATACGGAGATGAACTCACCACGGAAACAAGAGCAAAACGTAAGCTTTTTAAATCAATTACACAACATGAAACATGAAATGAAGCTTTATCTTATGGTTTCCATCATCATTCTTCTAGTTAGAACAGGGTTAGAGGGACCTGGGCTCACACTTTATCAGAAAATATGGTACTGTGTTGCTACAGTTGGTGGCCAGTATATTTGAACTCGTTTGCAATCCTTTTCTGCTTTCCGCCAGTGGGGTGATTCTGAACAGGTATCTAACATTCAATATCAACATATTTTAATTAAAAAAACTTAATTTTTTTGATGATGAAATTAAAGAATTAACATCAAGTTTGTTTTTCTCTCTCTCTCTCTCTCTCTCTCTCTATCTATCTCCTTTTTGATATTGTTTTTTATGTGGGCAGAGGTCACTAGCTCGTAGATTATGGTTTATAGCACAACGTGTTGAAGGATTTTATAAAGCTGCATTTTTTGATAATTTGCTTGTATATCTTTACACCGGAAGGTATATGAAAGATATAGCAACATACTTCGAAGGATAATTCTTAATTTGGATTTCTTAATATATTGTCTTATGATAAGTTTGATTTATGCAGCAATGGGTGGAAATTATAGGATATGCACACGAAAATATGGATTTATTGAAAGATCAAGATGTCATTAGGATTGTGCTTAACTTATTGAAGGTTCGTTCTTATACTACTGAATATAATATTTAATCGACTCTTTTTCATTTTTATTAATACAATCTTTATTTTCTGCAGACAAATACAAGTGTTGCCACTGGACTTGGAACAAATTGGATAGTAATTTGTGCCCCTGATGATGGATCATGTGCTTGGTGAGTGTGCAAGAAACTAACCTGATGCCAGAGAATCTAAAGGGTTGATTTTGTATGCCCCACAACTTGTTTCAGGTAAGGAGGGAAGAATTACTTTAGTTTGCTCAAACCGCTATCATTGGGCTACTAAAATTACTTTAGTTTGCTCAAACTGCAATCATTTAAGGTGTAATGATTTATATATTAAATGCTTTATTTTCTACTAACGGTGCTCTTGTAATATACATATAGCCTGAAAATCACCTTCTTGATTCCAAAGAAAGGCTAAAAGTTTCAGATTTTGGACTCAATGTACTCCCACAAAAGTAAACATATAATTATTTTCCATTTGGGGAGTCGGATCTTCCAACTTTGTATAAAAAGGTTAAATATCAAAAACTTTTATTAACATAATTATTTTATGAAATGGTTTTATATTTAGTTTTTAAGATCTTCAACTACTCACACACATGTCTGTGCTGCTAAATTTTCATACCCTTTCTAGTTTTTAAGATCTTCAACTACTCACACACATGTCTGTTCACATCGTTTTTATTATATCATGTGCGATTCAATAACATGTTTGATAACATGAATTCAGGGGATATTTTGATGTATGTGAAGATGATGTGGCGACTGTTAGCCCAACTGGACAAGATGAGAATCTATTAAGCCCTATAATGGCTCCTTTTCACTCTTCACAGTTATCAGGTCTGTTCTTAGTTACATGATTCTTGAAATTAAATATGTTGTATGCCTTGACAATGTTATCTGGAAACTTCTATTTTTTTCAGTTATTCCAATAATACCAACTTGATGCTACTGTTATGGGGATGTGGCTGTGAGCTTACCATTTGCTGACGTAGCAGGGTTCACCGATGGGAATGAGGTCAAAAGAGATTTTTCGGATCTTTCTTGGGTTGGAAATGTTACAGGGCTTATAGCTAAATCTGCAATCTTTTTTCTGTTTTGAATACATTTTGAATACAAGATTGCCCCTTCCATATTTGGCCATGAGGATGTTAAAAAAGTTGTGGCTTGTCTCCTGTTTGGAGGATGAAGGAAGGTATAATTCCAACTTTGCCCTTGAATATTGTTGTCTTTACTTGATTATTTAGGAGCTCATTTCCTCTATTTCTACAGACCTTACCTGATGGTGTAAGATTGATGGGTGATATTAGTGTTTTGCTCTTGGTAGACCCATCCACTACAAAATCACAGGTATAATTCCAACTTTGCCCTTGAATATTGGGTGACTGAAGGTGATGGATGTAAACTTGATTCTGGAACTCTCAGTCTACCAACATTAGAGTTTAATTGGGTGATTGAAGGTGATGTTGGTTCTTGAAACGAGACTCAAGATATCATATTTTGGCATGGCTAAAAGCTTTGGAGGAAACGAGACTCAAGCAAAAGTAAACACACAGAGAGTTGTTGGCACATAGTAAGCTAGATGATGCAATTGTATATAAATGAGTTCATTTTTTTATAACATTTACTCACTATTGGAATAATTATTTGTATTTTACATATTAGTGAAATGAATTATCTTTGTTATTTATGGTATTTTATTTTATATTATGAGATTTTTATGTATTATTTAATTTGAAAATTAGTAAATCTATAAATAATATTTTTTTTAAACATTTAAAATTATGATACGCAAAAATGTGAGTCATCTTCATTTATGACATGGCCTTTCTTGACAGGGGCTTTCTTGATACGCATTGCGTGTCATTAACACGCACGTCGTAAGGTTACGACACGCGAATGTGTGTCGTCTTCCTTTATGACAGGGCCTTCCTTGATACGCATTGCGTGTCGTCTACGCGCGTCGTAATTGCACGTCGTAAATAAGCGTCGTAAATGCACGTCGTTTATAGACGACGCGCAAAAGCGCGTCGTCTCTCTTTATGACAGGGCCTTCCTTGACGCGCATTTGCGCGTTGTCTGAGCCTTTTACGACGCGCAATGAGCGTCGTAAAAGGCTGTTTTTCTAGTAGTGTCTCTCTAACTTTCTCTCTCTATACTAGCCTTCTCTCCTAACCGTACAATCACATGTACTCCTCACCCTATATATATGAGATATGGGCCACCAGCAGCACACGAGTGTACAGCTGCACACGCGTGTGCGGCCGTACACACATGTGCAGCTGTACACAGCCACAATATTACATATTATATTATAGAAAAAATATATTTTCCTAGAAAAGCAAAGTATAAACCAACAATTATGACCCAACATAAGTTCTCTGATGCTATGGATGAATGACATTGGATTCTGTTATGATTTTAATGCTGGATTTGGTTTGATTTTCAAGTTGGATTTTTTATTTGATTTCACCATCACCATCAACGAAGCTCATATTTAACTATCTCTTCTACAAGTCTCAATCTACTGTGAAGTTAATGTCTACAAACACGTTCTATGAGAGCTTCCATGTAGAATTTTTTTAAAGTCTTTACATCTGTGTTTTTAACCTAAATTGACTCGATTTATCATGAAATTCATGAAATTAAGCTTATAATGAATGACTAATTGAGTGTCTAATACTTGATTTCACATAAGAAGACGTTTTATTTGAAAATTCTGGTATCTTTTCCTGTTGTTGATGGATTATGAACTTGGTTGTTTATTTTCTTGCTTTTGTGAGGAATTATGTGTACAGTTAGATTGTTTTTATTGAAAACAGTAAGTTCTATTGTTTTTATTGAAAATAGTAAGTTCTAGGGGATGGATTGGATTCTATTAGAGAGTTGATTATCATTGTAGGATTTCATGCACACAAGGTGTTTGTCATATTGTCCCAAAGAATCTAATAAGTGTAAAACTAGTCTTTTCTGTGAAAATCCTGAACTTTGAACCCTTATCAAGCTAAGTATTAAGGCCCTTATGCTAAATTAAATTTCACATCTCAATATAATAATAATAAACCAACAATCATGTTAAAAGTGATAAAATTAATGCTTAACCATTAAGTACTTAATAGAACACCAAAAGTGATTTAAAAGCTATTATGATCAATTTTCCCAAATCTATCCTCCAACTTCTAAAATTCGTGCAAGTCAATAGGAACACCTAAAAACCATGAGACTTATTTTTCTGGAAATATTATTGTGTCTAGTTTCTTCAAAATTTGAATCACATTTCGAAATTCCAAATCCTTGAGGGGTAAATTTGACAATCTTCTCAGTTTGGTCCATGCTGTCATAGATTTCATGCATTGTCTTCAAAAAATCATAATAAATTCATCAGAACTCCAAATGCCAAAATTCCAAATCCTATAGTTATATATGGATGTATAGTTTCCCACATTTAAAAGGTTTGATGTAATTCTTAGTAGATTGGTACAATTTATTCCAATAGTGTTGAGTGGTCCTGAATGTGACAGCTTAAAGTTACTAACTTGTAAATTTAATATAAAATCAACGAAAAATCATTAGAACAAGATCTTTATATCTATGAAAAGAAAAAAGAGGGAACGTTACCATTATTATTTTATCGAAATTTATGAATAGGTTGAAAGGTAAGAAAACAGATCCCAAAAGAGCACTACAATCAAAGAGAAAATAAGAAAATATATACATTAGTTTTATAAGAGTAATACAACAAAGCACAAGCTAAACAATGTTATGATTGTTGTGTAGGTTCTCAGAAAGGAAAGGATCCATCTTTCTCATGCTATCTAATTTTCAAGTTCAAGGAGGCACGTTACACTAACTCTCCTATTATGTAGGCATTACTTGTTTTATGATATTGTTTACGTTTACCCTAATCCGGTAGAGTGAACAAGAAAGGCAAAATGTAGTTTGTTTTTTTAGTGTGAAATGCAGAAAAGATTCACTTCCATGTTCTCAATTCGTAAATTGTTCTTGTGTATGAAATCACATGGAATTCTATGATCTAATAACATTGTAACGCCCCAAAATTACCGGTTAAAAATTTCATTTTTAATTTAGGTTAAAACATAAAACATCATTACAAAACATTCATGATAATAATCCATGTCTGAAAACCGGTGACATCATAATAAGAATTCAGAGCATCCCAGAAAATCCATAGTGCGGAAAAACAAAAGCGTATGTGTGATGTGCTGCTACCGCGCCGACTCTTTTCCCTTAGCTGCAGGGGTACCTGAAACCAAAACTGAAAACCGTAAGCACGAAGCTTAGTGAGCTCCCCCATAATACCTCATACCATGCAAGCATATAACATACAATATTCAACTAGGAGTTACGGGCCTCGCCCTCACTCATGAAGATACGTGCCCTGCCCACACTTCGCTAGCCGGGAGATACGGGCCTCACCCACACTCTACTACCTGGGAGATACGGGCCTAGCCCACACTCCACCCTCGGAGAGATACGGGCCTTGCCCACACTCAACCGCTAACCCATAATATACAGGTATCACACAGACAACAAGTATAAACAACCCTATCATACTAACACACATATCATAATCAACTAACCCAAGAGATACGGGCTCGGCCCACACTCTAGTGCTAACATCTCGTCTACACGGGTCGGCCTTGGTGCCGTAGACCCGTTCCTACTGGAAGGAAAACTCACCTCGAAGTAGATGCTGGTTTGTGTGGGAACTGACTGTCTGCTGCTGCTGCTACTCCGGAAATCCTCCGGCTATAATTCCCACAAAACACTCAATCAAACACCGCTAACTGACCCTCGGGTAAATTGACCATTTTACCCTTGATCAAGTTAAAAGTCAAAGCCAGAGTCAACTTTCAGTCGAACCGACTCGCCGAATCCTTGTCCAAACAATTGTTCTGCAACCCGTCTCTACTCGTCGAGTTGGGCGTTGACTCGATGAGTTCTCCTTCTAAACTGATGTCAAGTCCTTCATCCTACTCGCTGAGTTGTATGAACAACTCGTCGAGTTCATCTTCATCCGATGAATAATTATGCTATGACTCGCCGAGTTGTATGAACAACTCATCGAGTCTGCCCTTGATTCTCAGAAGATTGCCTTGAACTCGCCGAGTCTGGGCACCGACTCATCGAGTTCCCTTATGGGTGAGTTTTGGCTTCCAACTTACCGAGTCCACCCTGGACTAGCTACACAACTCGGCACAACGAAAAAGGGACAACTCGGAGACTCGCGACTAGACTCGCCGAGTCAGATGAGCGACTCGCCGAGTCCGCTTCATGCAAGAGCCATGTACGCGATTTTGCTCGAATCCAATCCATGCCATTCATAGATCTGGGTTCCTAGAGCATGAATAACACATAAAGTTTCCAACTTTATGTGTAAATATTCATCCATGAGGGTTTTAGGGTTCAAAATGCACCAAAAGAGTAGATCTAAGGTCTTCATGCAACATGGGTCCATAAAGGCAGTAGATCTGAGCTCCTGGGGCTCAACCATGCCTAGATCTAGAGGCAAATCAGCTTATTACGAATTATAATGCACATACAAGCTTGGGGAAGGGCTCAAGAAAGACTTTAACGGAGTAACAAGCATAGAAACAAGGGGAAAACGAGTTTTACCTCAAAGAAATCACTGAGAGAACACTAAGATGCTTGGCTTTCTTCCCTTCCTCTTGATCTACTCCACTTCCTTCTCAAAATCTTCAAGAACACACACTAAAATGCCTCAAACTCACAAGAACAAGAGCTAGAACGTAAGGAGAGCTTTTGAGGGTGAAGGGGGCTGGCTTGGGGCGGAAATGAGGGCTTAAATAGGGTGCAAACCCCTGAAACTTAGCATTTCATCCAACAATGGTGACTCGCCGAGTCCAGGATATGGACTCGCCGAGTCGCCAAGTTAAACGTGTCCCGGGTCCCGTCTCTACTCGGCGAGTCGGTCCTATGACTCGCCGAGTCTAAGGCTAAAAATGGAAAATACTCAAATAAGATTTACATACCAGGAACCAGGTGCTACAAATCTCGCCCACTTATTTTAGACTTCGTCCTCGAAGTCTGTTGCTTGATCCTGAAACAGTTCAGGGTAAT